GGGGGCGCGGTCCTCGGCACAGGCTGCTGTGGCCTGGGGCGCTGGCGCGGCGGGGCCCAGGTTCCAGGGGCGCGGAAGGCAAGGGTGGAGAGCGGGGTGAGGCAGTGGGCCGGTCCCTGCAACTGCCCAGCCCGGGTTCTGGGGCCACTTGCCCCCCAGGTTGCTCCCTCGCGCCCCACCCCCGCACGCCGCAGAGCGCCACCGAGGGTCCCCTCGCTGGGCCGTGCTCTCTGTCCGCAGCTCACCGCCTCCCTTCTTAATTGGGAGAGGCCTAGAGAGAAACGACTGCCCACCCCCCACCCAAGTTGTCTGAGCAGACACCTGTCCTTTGAGCTACACAGAGTCCAGGCCAGTCCCCAGGGCAGGCACATGGTGAGAGGCTCTCCTGGACTGACTGACAGAGCCGCCCCCGGGGGGTGAGGCTGGACCCCTCTCCCATCCCCTCAGGACGGGGTGGCCATGGCCCTCCAGGGCCCAGAGCACCCACCATGCCCGGGACCCAGGTGTGGCAGCCGTGGCCCCTGGGGCTGTGTGGGTGCTGCTGGGGCAGACCCGTCTCCAGTGCTCACACGTCCCCATTGGGGCGCTGCGCGGCCATCGGCAGGCAGGGCAGGGGTTGAGAATGAGGGGGCTCGGCCACGGACGGGGGTGCAGCTGCTGGGACTGGGACCTTAGCTCTTGCAGACGCAAAAGTGGGGCGTCCGAAGCCCCATGCAGCAGTTCAGAGGGTGGCAAATGCCACAGATGTTCCCTCTGGGGGTGGTGCCCGTGGAGCCACGTGGGCCACGGAGCTGGACGAGCTGGTGGGCACCTGAGGGGGACGGGACGGGGGTTCGCAGACAGAAGCTGCGGTCACGCCCCACGGGGCTCAGATGCCGGAAGTTCCTGGACATGCTGCAGAGAGGGAAGTCTGAGGCCCAGTGTCTCTCAGCTGCAGTCAGCACAGGGGAGGGGGCCCCCTCCCTCGGCCACCCCCGCCCTGTGCTCCGCACAGCCGAGTGCCACCGAGGGTCCCCTCCCCGGGCCGTGCTCCCTGACACACGGCCACCTCTGCACCAGCCACCGAGCATGGACCGGTCAGGTCCAGGGAGCCCCAGGGTGCCAACCAACCCCTGGCACATGGTGGGGACTTGACTTTGAGTCCCTCCCACCCTACACTCCAGCAGGGGCCCTGAGGACAGGCACCCCACCACCTCTGCAGGACCCCGACCGCCTAGGGGGCCGTTGCTGCAGTCTGGCCGTTGCTGGGGCTCTGGAGTCCTGGACACGTGGGGTCCTGCTTGTCCACCCACTGCTCTGGGGCTCACAGGGGCCTCACGGCTGCCCTTTGCTGCAGCGCCCCCGGGCCCCCCGGAGACGGCGGCCGGGCCTGGTGCCTGCGTGAGGCTCTCCTCTCGGGCGGCCACCTATGCACCCTGACCAGGGCGAGCTGCCGGAGGACACGCCAAGCTGAAGAGTAGCCTGGGGAGACAGCTCTGGAAGGCCACATCCTCACCACGGCGCTCTCCTGGCATCAGCCGCAGGTGGCGCCTCCCCCGGCCGCCGGCCTCTGCGCACCCTGTCCTGTGTCTCAGCTCTTCACTCCTTTCTCTTACTGGACTTAGCAGTCACCCCAAGTCCAAGATGACCTCATAGGTTGTTAACCACAACCACAGTGACCAGGTTTCTGAATATGGATGCCTTCGTGGGTGCAGGGCTGGCGCCTGGGCAGCCTTTGGGGGGGCTGCCATGCGCCTCACTGCAAAGACCGCAAAATGCAGCCCCTTTGCCCTTGTGACAGGCAGATGCCCCCCCATGGTCACTGGGGTGTGTGAGGAGTGGGGGTGCAGACCAGACTCCTATGAACGGACTTCGGCGTGACACCCTCACGCGCCTGCCCAAGTCACGGCCAGCCGGGCAGAAGCCTGCTGAGCCCGGCCCCTCCCTGGGAGCGCTGGACTTTGCTTGTCCAGCACCAGGGAGGTCTCCGCCTCGGGAGGGCAGCCGGGTGCAGGAAATCCTGGCGCCCGCCCCTCCCTGGGCTGCTGCCTGACGCTGAAATGCCGCAAGGCCGCGAAAGTGGCCTGGGTCTGGCCACTCCATCAGACAGGATGAATTGGGGCTGCCCAGCCGCGGAGGGCCTCGCCAGGGCTAGCTGGGCAAAGAAGGGCAGCCCAGCCCCCTGCCGAGCAAGGGCTGGCCCGGGAGCTCCATGGCCACTGTGCACTCAGCGACCAGGTAGGTGCGCGTGCTCCAAGCTGCCTGCACGGAGTGGCCGCTCGAGGCCATCCCAGGAGACAGTGGACCCTCGTGGCCTGGGCCCGCCGATACCAGGGCTCTGGGCCCAGGTGCCCAGCGGGTCCAAGTGGCAGTTTGAGGGCAGAAGACCTCGCTTCACAGGCCCGCGAGCCACCGCTGCCCTCTAGAGACCACCGCAGTCAGGTGGGGGTCAAAGAGGCTCCCTGCCCTGAAAGGAGGCCCGCAAGGGGGCGGGGCTTGCTCTCAGAGCCACTTTACACTTCAAGGCTGGCCCCTCTTACTGGAGCTCTAAGGGCCAGTGCTCCTGCTGGCCAGCCGAGGCCAATCCCACAAGCCTGGCCGGCGCATTGCAAGCTGAGCTGCGCCGCGAGGCCCTGAGAGGGTCTGCAGGGCGCGGTCTGCAGACCCAGGACCGCGATCGTGTCTCGGGCCGGCCGCTTCAGCACTTGGGGCCGCATGAAGCGGGGCCCTGCAGGAAGACCCCCGCGGCCGCTGCCAATCCCCAGCTCCGAGGCCGCTGAGCCCCGACACACAGCCGAAGCCCTCCTCAGGGGGTCCCAGCCCGCTGCCGCC